TTTATAGGTAATGTGTAGTGCTTCGTGTTATTTTTCGCTCTTCCCACGGGCACATTCGCCATGTAATTAAATGAAACCCTCAACAACCGGGGTAATTAATGTGTGTCTCTTCGATTCGTTTCTCATTTCTTTTAGGATCGGAAGGATTCGGTAAGTACCCGACATTGTATTTTTCATTTGAATATGTTTCAGCGTTTCCTTCGATGCACTATTGCTACTTACCAATAAATATCTGTTCGTATGGGGCATTTTTCCTCCCATGAGAAGAAATGCAAATCCATCCGACCAATTTACCGAATTCGTCTACACTACTCGGAATAACATTATTTTCGATTGAATAGCATGGACTCAGATTAGGACAAAGAATCTAATGATTGGTGCACAGATAGATAGAACTATGGTGAGCTGTTGATGCAGTTAATTCTATGCAGAAATTTATGCAAATTATTATCACGAGTATCAGTTAACCGTCTGCCAATTGTTTGGTGTCAAAATCTCATCGGTGTGGATAGTTTGTTAGCTTTCAGTCTTTCGAGTTATCCGATTTGTTGCAGTTGGGTCCGAAAGATTGGTTGGATTATCTGCCTCCTGATTAGCTGCCTGTGAGCCATATCGAGATGTACGCGTATTGCCGCCGATATGATTGCGTGGTTACTACACCATCTCGGAATCGAGCAGCCTTCGATCATGCAATGAGCTGTGATACCAATTGGATTGCATTCGTCACCCATATGCTTCCATCCGCCATACCTTGGCAGTAGGCGATTCTGCCTTAGGCGAAAGTCTATTTGCCAGTACCGAATTGTGACAAGTTTCAACTCTGTGTTTAATGTGCTCATCCATAAATGGTTGGTGAGCTTAGCTTCAGGCAGTTGCCTTCATGTGTTTGATGACAGGGAAATGGTGGCGAGATTTGTTTCAACATAGTTGAGTGAAGTATGTGGCACTACAACACGTTCATCGATCATCAAATATGCTTGTCTTACAGATAAAGCTTTCCTGGTTTTGAAGAAAATATTGATATGTTCTCTTCTTGAGATCCTTACTACAACTTGTTCTGCAATACGTTGTCACATCATGCAGTTATCTCTTCTTTGATGTATTTTACCGGATCGATGTAGCGGTAAACTCGAAGACGTACCAAACATCGGAGTTATTGCGGATCGATGCTATTTCATTATCATCCTCAAGACGAAGTGTGCCGTTGTCAGCTCATATCCTAAAGTGGGATGCTGGGCATCCCAATCAAAACGTAAGCGAAATTTCCAACTCAACCACACTTTGGCCTAACTTTGCGGCCGCTTCACAGTGTGTACCGAGACTCATGTCTACGCAACGAGGATGGACATCAACGGTTTGTGAGTAATGATTAGGGTAGATGGTCCCCCGTGCAACTTTGAAAGAATCTTTTTATAGCGAACGCAGTGTTCTTCGATCTGAAGAGAACGCTTTACTCGGTTGGATGTGAGGTTTGCCTCTTTGTACATGAATGCATTAGCCAAACCCCAAATGAAAGACAAGAAAAGTCTGCGGTTCTTTCTGAGGCCGTTGTAAATGTAAGCAAGAAACAAATACAAATATGGATGATTGTGTTGGCACGGCTTGATATACGCACTTTGAAATGAAACATTTGACGTGACCCTGATGTTCTCGAGAAGTGGAGCGGTCGGGTGTACCATGCTCTAGCGCAGTCAGTTCTGCTTCACGGTTGTGTGCAGGAAATACTCGTCAGCTATTCTTGCTTTCATGGGACTTTTGCATTCCTGAGTGCAGACTGTCTTTATGAGCTTCCTTTGTAGTTTTTGTTCATATACGTCGAATCCCATGTGAATTAGCACAAATGGATACCCATTAACGATCACCCCCAAAACCAGAAATAATAAGCACATAGACCAATCGCGATTAACGTGGTGATTAACATACCACACCCATCTGGCATTGATGAGTATCAATATTTTTGCGGTGATCACTGAATTCTTTCGCCACAACAAGTAAGTCACTTGATAGAATTAGAATGAACGTTCGGCGACATTTGTATGACCTGTTTAAAACTCCCATCGATGCAATATCTGTACGGAGTGAATTCACAAGCGATGTATCGGAACTCATACGTACATGAAAGACACTGTAGGGAAGCGAAAATAGGCGATTTGGAATAGTAGACACCTTGTCATCATCAGTACGCAGCCAGTGAAAAATATCCATGGGATCTCTAATTCCGTTCATAATGTTCAGCCACAGATTGGCCTAAGATGAAACCGAACTGACAGATTGTATTTGTGGATGACCCCGTGCACACGAACACATTTACTCGCTGCACTGTCAGCTGAAGCTAGTCATGCCTGTGCGACCTTCAAGATTTGAGATTCAATGCAGCATTCGAAGAAGTTCCACCACCTTCCATTTACCCAGTACTGTGTTGTGCACGCGACAAACGAAAGCAGGCAGTGGGTAAATTATTGGATTTTATTTGTCTACGAATTCTCGATTAGATAAGGTCAGAAGTGCATACGCAGACAGAGACTTAAGCAAATGCTTCGCGCACGCACGTACAGCGATTCATTTCACTCAGGATTCTCCAAAAGCGAAATCTAATGAAAATTTTGCAAAACCAAGAGTGTATCCCAATGGAACAAAACTAATCAAAAAGTGAACTCCAAAAACATAATATTCGCCCAACGGATGCGTCCTCCTATTTGACGTTATAGACAACTATCTGTTACTGAATTGTGGTTGTCGGTGTTTCTTTCAGAACTGTACTTACACGGACTCGTGTATAGAAACAATAGAACGGTTCGATGGGATGAAGATTATAACGATGAGGAGAAAACAAGCACGAAGGGTTTGACTGAGCAATTGAAGGAAATGGTGAGTCACTGGTGCTATATGTTTCATTCTGAGTAGACCATGCACTCGCGAGTCATCTGTGTTATTCAGGAGGTAATCTCTATTTGAGGTGCTCGATGTGCCTAAAGGTCGCTAGTACAGCGCGATTTTAGATCAAAAGTTTACTTGAGGCTGGATTTAGTCGCGAAGCGAGCAGGAATGCAGTCGATTGGCATAGTCCTACCGAGTAATTCTCAGAATCTCTATGTACATACGATGTCTACTCTGCTGTTTTTCCACCTAGTCCAAGGTGACTTATATCAGTCAGTCCGACTGATACAACTGGGGACCTAAGGATGGTTCGGTAAATCCGATTTCTGATTGATTACGTAGACGCTGTGCCGTGGTGCGTGCGTAAGCGTTGTACGATCACCACATTTACCCCACAAGCTAACATACAGGGTGACTGCTTCATCGTAGTCGCGCGTCTCGTCCCTGTCACCCGTGACCTTAAGCAAGTAAATTCCCTCGGACCCCTGACGCGATCTGATTGGATCATATTCCGCGAGCTGCGACGCCTAGTCTTTCACCCTA